CCCGGATTCTAGCGTTGTAAGTCCGTAGACATACCGCTGTGCTACTAGGGGGCTAAGTGATAGACTAGAGGGAAGGCAGATAATCAACACCACCCCGCCACCAATTCTTAGGCTACTTTATCCTTTATCAACGAATAGTAGGATTGACCACCACGTTATAACGCCCAAACAGCTTAAAGGATGCGCATGTTTGTAGGCAGGATTCGGACCTTTGACCCTCAGATTGCCATCTAGTGCTCTAACCGATGCTAAATCGGTTTCCTAAATGTGTTGCTTGCTATATAGTTTATCCTGTCAAAACTCTTATGCGTAGGTAAACAATTATTATAGTAATAGTATACACCGAGAACCATCCCGTTTGTTGCCCTTGGTGGAGGATTTTGGGCAGTGAGTTCTTGGAGAGATGAGTTTAAGCGACGTTAGCGATAATATACATTTCTTTCACTAAAGCATTTTAAGAACGAATCCAACAGGATTTTATCAGGACTACAGATCCTCCATATAGTATACCAGTTTAACACACATTGTCTGCTCTTCAATTTTAACCGATTTTTTTTTCTCACGCCTATTTATCTATTCCTGTATTAAGTTACTTTACATTTACTGCAGATGGCGCCACATCCATTTTATTGTTATTATAATTTTTTAAAAAAACAACTGGCATTAAAACTTCAGCACAGAAACATGAGATGGTTGAAAAAAAAACTTAAAATAATACGTGCTTATCTACCCCTTCACCAGCTTTGTGTCTTGTTAAAATCCGGAGTTCAATCCCCCGCAGTGAACGCAACAGATAGCCAATCCAACTTTACCCTAAAACAATCAGACAATGTAATGTAAAATTATATTTTTCTTCAGCGGCAGTTAGTTTATTATCCTATGATTACTAAAATTAGAATAAACGCCAAGCATTTTATGTTAAACAGAAGGACGTGGTCCAGTAGTTAGTGTGTTAGGATGCTGATCGTAGGGTCAGGAGTTCGAGACGTGGACACGTTATAAAGATAACAGTAAGTAAATCCCTTCATTCAGTTAACACATATGGGAAAAGTCTTTGTGGTGGCGGGTGCTGCTAGCCGGTTGCCTTTCCTCTGGTCATTGGCTCAAAAGTAAGAAAAGTTATAACAGAATACTTAGGGCTTCAATCTAGGTCATTTAACCTACGTACCCATGAGGCGATGTTCAAGTTAACCACCTGCCGACATATCAGAGAGTTGGGGTTTAGACGAAGATTGAAGTTGGACACTCACTAGGGGCCGTCGCTGCTAAATACAAAGTTTGCCATTTCAATGTTTGTTACCATTTTTTGACATTAAATCTGTATAACTCTGGCAAGAAATTTCATCACATCATTCTTTTACTGGCTTTACAGTAACAAAGTTTACAGAATACTAATCACTCAACACTCAAGGAACTAATTAAAGAATGCAGTGTTGAAAAATATTGTTTTTTTGTTTCTTTTGAATTTCGCGCCAAGCTACACGAGGGCTATCTGCGCTAGCCGTCTCTAATTTAGCAGTGTTAGACTAGAGAGAAGGCATTTAGCTAGTCATCACCACCCACCGCTAGCTCTTGGGGCTACTCTTTTAGCAACGAATAGTTGGATTGACCGTCACTTTATAACGCCCTCACGGCTGAAAGGGCGAGTATGTTTGGCGGGACGGGGATTCGAACCCGCGACCCTCAGATTGCGAGTCGAGCGCCCTAACCACCTGGCCATGCCGGGCTAAACACAAAAGAACACTTGCGAGCGGTTGCTGAAATTGTAGCCAAAAGGTAGTGGAGAAAAAAAAAATCAACGTGAAAGAAAAACCTGTTGACGTTAATATCTAAAATAGGTAGCTTTTAAACACTAAATTGTGTACAGAAATTTGAAACTAATATCACACTTAACTATTCTAGAAATAGCAGACCTAGCAACGTGTGTGTCTCTCATAATGGGCTTAAACAGTCGACGACAGAGACATCTGCACGAGCTGTACGACAAAAGACAAGATCTTTCTAGGCGAGCATGTTTGGTGGGACGGGGAGCTGAACCCGCGATCTTCAGATTGCGAGTCGAACGCCCTAACCACCTGGCCATGCCGGGCCGTTGAAAAATATAATAGGCCTAGTTAACTGGGTCTTGTGACAGCTAAATTAGCTATGGTCATTTTTCATCAGCTTGGAGGGGCATTCATCCTATTGTTGGTTAAAGGTTGTTTATTGTTGTCATTTTGTTATAAATTTATAGGCTACTAGATTTGTATTGTTCTTTTCATTTCCCGTATACTCGTGGGGTGTGTCTACATTTTTATATATATATATACCTTATCACAAAAAAATATAATATTACCTAATTTAATGCAAATGCTCGAAATATGAATATATTTAGTGTTATAACTGTGTATACTTACTGAAATAGATGTTAAGACTAACTATAAACCGCGTGTATTGTTGATCCACAGTCTAAAGGATCCTTTAGATAAAAGTCGGGCTGCATGGGGGGAGGGGGGGGGGATTTCAGGTTTGACCACTTCAGTAAAAACGAACGTGTGGAGTCAAACGGCACGTGATTAATGACAGTCTGTTAACCTTAGTCTGTTTCATTAAACGGGCTCTTCGTTCAGATGCTCCACAAGTTGTAGTTTGTCTTTTGATACGAAGTTATAAACATGGTACTCGGTCTGTTTAGTTAAGAACGGGTTTCTCAGTGATTATAGACATATATATATATTCACCTTTTGATAAAAACGTTTTCAAGTATTTTTATACATTTTCATTACATAAACGCGAACCTTGTCAACCATCAGGTTGTCAAAACGTTGTACATTTGTAATAAAGTTTCCTTCACGACCCATTCAAGTCATCTCCAAACTTTACATAGATATATTGTTTTATAGAACACTATTAACCAGTGTATAGAGAGTAAGGAGATATTACAATGTTATAAACGTCTCCTTAATTAATACAGAATACATAAATATATACATACATATATTGTTTTATAGAACACTATTAACCAGTGTATAGAGAGTAAGGAGATATTACAATGTTATAAACATCTCCTTAATTAATACAGAATACATAAATATATACATACATATATTGTTTTATAGAACACTATTAACCAGTGTATAGAGAGTAAGGAGATATTACAATGTTATAAACGTCTCCTTAATTAATACAGAATACATAAATATATACATATATGTATAAGTAGACGTACATACATACATACATGTGTGTTTTTATTTATTTTTCTGCACATTCAAATATAACAAGTTTCAACTAGCCGTCCTACTGACGTTTAATCATTGGACTGTGGCATGTTGTCATTAACATCTACGTATTACTATTATGTGAATCTCGTGTTGTTCCTGGACTGTGGCATGTTGTAATTAACATATAAATATTATCATGTGAATCTTGTGTTGTTACTGGACTGTGGCATGTTGTCATTAACATCTACGTATTACTATTATGTGAATCTCGTGTTGTTCCTGGACTGTGGCATGTTGTAATTAACATATAAATATTATCATGTGAATCTTGTGTTGTTACTGGACTGTCGCATGTTGTCATTAGCATCTACGTATTATTATGTGAATCTCATGTTGCTACTGGACTGTAACAAGTATTTTGTTGTTGTTGGACTGTGACATGTTGTCATTAACATCTACGTATTATTATTATTATGTGAATCTCGTGTTGTTGTTGGACTGTGGCATGTTGTAATTAACATCTACGTATTATTATTATTATTATGTAAATGTCGCGTTGTTGTTGGACTGTTGCATGTTGTAATTAACATCTACGTATTATTATTGTTGTTGTTGGACTGTTGCATGTTGTAATTAACATCTACGTATTATTATTATGTAAATGTCGTGTTGTTGTTGGACTGTTGCATGTTGTAATTAACATCTACGTATTATTATTATTATTATGTGAATGTCGTGTTGTTGTTGGACTGTAACAAGTATTTTGTTGTTGTTGGACTGTGGCATTTGTTTAAAACAACATCCATGTGTATAAGGTATTTCTTTAGTTTTAGTGACTGTGTTCGACAATAATTATTTGTTAATCTACATATTCATGGACATGTGGGCGTGAACCAAATCTTTGTTTGCCTTCATCTGTAGCGTTAATTTACATTCATACTTTACACAGTTACTCAGGTTGGTTTTAGTGTAACAGTGTACAATGAGTTACTGAAGGAGGAACCACCGGTTCTCTAATGTAGCCTGGCTGGTTGATCTTCTGCTCTACCAACAGTATGGGGTGGCGACGTGCTGTCCCGTGAGTAGCCCTCCCGGTAGTTTGGAACATCCTAGTTGTCGTTGTGACAGAGAAGTTGAGGGATTTACGGACTGGCTAACTGACGTGATGCTCGTTCACGAAGCTGATTGGAAAGGGATTTTTTTTTTTTAATGAAAAGGTTGACACAGCTGTGCCGTTCAAGACTCCGAAGAAGTATTAAACTTTCTTGATATCGGGAACTAAACGGAAACTATATCTCAAAGTGAGTTTTAACCAAATTATTATCACTACAGAACAAGTGAGTTTTAACCAAATTCTTATCACTACAGAACAAGTGAGTTTTAACCAAATTATTATCACTACAGAACAAGTGAGTTTTAACCAAATTATTATCACTACAGAACAAGT